CAGGAAGCAAGTAGAATATATTCTGGTCAACATGAAAGAGAAGCCAGTTGTAGCGATATTGCTTCAGGTCAGGCATATGTTCTCTGTGATCATTACTTGCATGCTCATGCTTGTCCTGACAGAAAATCATTAGATTTATCAGATGAATATAAGAGTGTTGTTCCTCTTTTCACTCTCATCAAATCCTGTTACTTTTGATATTTTGTGGAATGTTTCAGGCCTCTACTAAAGTTTGATGTAATTGAATGATTAGGCACTACAAAGGACAGTAGAGTTTGAAAAAGAACTTGAAAAGAAATTTGGTGGTGGTGTTCCTACTAGGGATATCGAAGATGACATTGATGAAATTGGTACATGGGAAAACAATAGTCAAAATGTATCCAAAATTCGCAAGAAGTATGAAAAGAAGTTTGCTGCTAGTCAGGAATCAGGGGAAAATGTATGTTCTATATTATGGAAAACACTCTAGTAACCTTATATTAATGCTTACACTTTATTCTGATAGTGTTTTCTGCCTCGGATTCAACAGGTAATGACCCGAGACAAAGAATTATCTGCTACTGGAGCTGGGGTATATTCTCTACTTGTAGTTATCACCCCTCCCTGATTTTGGCTGATGCATTTCAATTGTAATTATGGAATTCCTTAGAGAGCAAGTGAAAGTGGCCTAACTCTTAATAGTTTATAGGGACAGTATTGCATATATCGAAGACGGTAAAAATATCTTGCATGGCATCCCCATTTTCGGGTCTACTGATATTATGAGACTTGTATCATCCCATTTGGCCTTCCATACCTGTAAAACTGAAATGACATGTAATCTACTTGTTCCATATTATCATATGAAGGAATTATATACTCACAAGTTACTCAACCTCGCAGTTTAACTTCCGTGGAATGATCTCTTCTTGCTTTGAACCTCATTTAACCCCATATATTGAGATGGAAGAGAAGACACTTATGGACGACCTGGAGAAAGTAGTTCAGGTTCGCTTAACGAAATTGTTTTTGTTCCAAGGTTTGTCTAAGTTTTCCTAATTTGTTTTTTCCTCACAGGAGGAAACATGGGATATTGAGGATGGAAGTCAAAATAATGTTTTATCTAGTAGCACAAAGGTGAGTTACCTAGGCAAGGTTCTTGAAAACGGACTAATAGTTTAAACTTTAACAAATTCAATGTATCAACTATCAACTGATTCACGACTTCCACTAGGTAGAAACTGGCAGATATAGTTGGATTCTTCATATAGATGTGTAGAATAACTCTCTACTTGAAACATTGAACCTACAATTCGGTCATTGCCAACTGAGCTTGATAGAAATTTCTGATCATGTCCACAGTGATGTTTGTTGTAGTAGTAGGAAAAGTATTCTGCCTTATAACGGATAACTCTAGAAGAACTTCGAAAAGTATCTTCTGTGCATAGTGATTATCGATGGCACTAGATTAGCGAGTGAGAACTTGATAACATCTCTATACAAACTATCTGTCCCATTATATCTTAGTGTCAGTAGCCATTCAAAATGAATTTTGTTAAGTAGTTTACTATCGCCTTTGTTTGCAGTTGTTTTCCAATATAAAGAAGAGCTTGAAACGGTGTAGTACGCTCACTAAGAACCAGACTTTGTTCAATTTGTTCAAGGTACATTTGTTGTACGCTCAATATGGGTTTTCTATATATATCATAGACTTGTACTTTGAATTCAAGCAATGTCTTAGTTACTCTAAGACAGCTTTGTTTGTGGAGTAATAAAATTTTATTAGGAGAAACCTTGTTAGTTAATCTAAAACCAGCTTTTCAAGCCACCTAGGAGGTACTTACGAGGGAAGAGCATACACATGTGCTCTTTAATGATGTTTGCAGATCAATTTAAATGCTCTACTTCACGGTCCCATATAAGGTGGATGGAGAATTTGAGTTTAATTGTTTTGAAAGGGTCTCCTCTGTACAGGTCTTTCAACGAGTTCTGAAGGCCTATGCTACAAAGCTATTTTGTAAGCTCCCAAAAGGTGGCACCGGTATCGTTGCCGCAGCCACGGGCATGGATGGACTTATAAAGGTCCTGAGCATATCTGCCTTCTTCGTTTTTCGCATGTGTGCTGTCCAACATAGCTTATCTTTTTATATTTCTTCTGTGCAGGTATCGGAGAGGGATGAAAGGGTGGTATGCTACATAGTTAATTCTGCTGAGTATTGCCACAAAACAGTAAGCTTATTATGTTTCTTGCCTCTTCCACCTTTGGCACCCTCAGCATGCAGAGCATATACATGATACATGTGTGTAGCCCGTTGCGGTGGGTTAATTAGGGTTGTATCATATAGTTATAATCTGATTTCAGGCCAGTCGTGTAGAAAGACCGTTTGTGATATTGAAATCTTCACATCAAGTTTTAAGAAACTTTCATGGGTCTAGTTACTTTCTCGATGTGATATATATTGTGTTACTCATGCGGTACATTTTCAAATATATTATATGCTGCTACTGCATTAAACAATGTAATGCAAATTGTTATGTTGTTCGGAGATACAAGATGTGTGCTGATGCCAATAGGATTCTATCTAAAAGTTTTGATTATCTGAACAACAATTTGGCACTTCACAAGGATTATTTGCTATTTGTATCGCAGTCTGGTGAACTGTCAGAAAATGTCTCACAAATTATTGACCCGCATTATGCTGACGGTGTTGACATGTCAGAGGTCGAGGTACTGAATTCATGAAGGACTTCTATTTTCCCTTATTTTTAGATTGTTCTTAAGCTGTGTTACTGTGCAGGATGAATTTTCAGCCGTCATAACGAAAGCATTGGTAACACTGGTCCTAGGAATTGAAACTAAATTTGACACAGAAATGGCAGTGATGACACGTATTCCATGGAGCACGCTTGAGAGTGTGGGTGACCAGTCTGGGTAAGGTCTAACTAAGGGTTTAATGCTTCTATCGTTTTTGATGTCCATATGACCAAGTGTTAACAACATGCATTTGCATCTTCTATAGGTACGTGAATGGAATAAATACAATCCTTAGCAGCAGCATTCCTGTCCTCGGGAACCTTCTAACACCAGTTTACTTCCAATTTTTCCTCGACAAGGTAGGGAATGTTGTTTGAATGCCATTATAATCTGATGGTTACTGCCTTAGACAAAAGTTAGGGCCCGCATTATATGTTTTTTACGGGGCTAAGCCTTGACCAGATCCTTGGCTTAGATCTTGTGTAGACTATAAAATAGATTGGTAGGCTACTTTGTTAATCGAACAAACTTCATTACTCTCTACTAAGATTGATACTCTTATGGCCCAAACTCAAAGCTATCTCCAGTAACTGTTCAACGGGGTTACGAGTTGACTAATATCTAGATGACGGCCTTTTGCTTAAAAACTTTGTGCAGCTGGCATCATCCCTTGGACCACGGTTCTATGCTAATATTTTCAGATGCAAACAACTATCCGAAACTGGAGCTCAACAGGTTAGCCTACGAGCTCTATGCTTTCCATTTGGATGGCTCTGATTCTCTCTGTTATGCTCTTATTTGAATGGCTCCATTCTGTTTGCCTAGTTTAGAAGGTGTATTCAAAGATATCGTCTTCTCGTTCAGAGTTTCTGCTTTTGTTATTGTTGAAGTGACTATGTTTAGCCTCATTATTTATTCAATTTATTTCCTTAAGTTCTAGTATGATTGAAGTGTTCATGGTAGAGTTTCCGCTCTCATGTTATGTTTCTGAGCCCCTTCTTTTTCAGATGTTACTGGATACGCAAGCCATGAAGACGATTCTTCTAGAAATTCCCTCCCTTGCCAGACAGGTTAGCTCATCATTATTAGTTTATGTATATAATATGTGCGTGCCTCTGCTGGTGACTCCGTATTCAAAATAGGTAATTGCTGTTAAATTAGCGTGAAGCAATACTGGGCATCTGATGCCTAAACCCATCGGGGTATTCTTGTTTCAGATATAGAGCCTATATTAGGGATGTTATATATATACCAATATTGTCTGTAAATCCGATAGGATTCAAAAAAAAATTTTAATTGATTTATCTTTTAACAATATCATTGCAGACTTCGACTGCTGCCAGCTATTCCAAATTTGTGAGCCGTGAAATGAGCAGAGCCGAAGCACTCCTCAAGGTCATACTATCCCCAATCGATTCAGTAGCAGACACTTATCGTGCACTGTTTCCAGAAGGAACGACCATGGAGTTTCAGCGCATCTTGGAACTCAAGGTAATTTTGCCATTTCTTAATCCATTGTCTCACTCACAAGCGAACTGGTTGGAAACCAAGGTTCCAGTACACAACAGTACTTCTCAAACGACTCTCTAGATCGTGGGGCTAAGTAACTTGCTCCTCTAGTGAAAGTTGTCTGAACACTCTTGTCTCGTTTGTCTCTATCTTAAACTTGAGGGGCCTTAAGCATATGCTGAGACTTTTGCTGGTGTTTGGTGCAGGGACTTAAGAAAGCTGATCAGCAGAGTATACTTGATGATTTCAACAAGCATGGCCCAGGATTCACACAGCCCTCGGTAATGCCACAACCGATGCCAACCCCGCCTGCACCGCCACTGGCAATCACTAATCCTGCTACAGCATCTGGGTTCATAGCAAACAGCGAGGATGTATTAACCAGAGCAGCTGCTCTTGGCATTAAGAAGTTCATTGCTCTTACCGAAGCTGCCAAAGACCGTAAAGATGGGCCTTTAAGGAGACTCTTCAATGCATGATTTGTTTCATTTTCTACCCTCT